CATTACTCTGCAAATCGTATTTTCCTTAGTTTTCAACAAAACTTTTGAAACCACACAAACGTCGGGCCCTAGGCTCGGCTCCCGACCAACCTTGCACCTCGCAAGCAACACGGTCTGATCAACTGCGGTACTATGGCGGAAATTCCTTAAGAGATTCCCCTTAGGATAACCTCTACCAAAGCTGAGGCCAGACTCGCACTAAATCTTCGAAAATGCCTAAGTATCATAAGCCTAGTTATCCTCGCACACTTAGCTGCGTTAAGGACTGTCTTAAGCCAACATCAGGGTCGCACACAACTAAGAATCAGGGTTCCCCGAATTCCTAGAAAGTACGACCTAGATATACCTAAGTACGTAAGCCGGCCCATTTCGGCCAATTTAGCAGGACGACGGTCTACTAATCACAACTTAACAAATTATATAAAACATTAAAGCCATTTAAACAAACGCAAATGCCTGCCAACGCACATTAAATAAATAAACCCCAAACCCCCTTAGGTCTAAGGTAAAATTAAGTTTGAAATATTAAAAAAAAATACTAAGGCCACAAGCGGCCCGATTAAGAATCCTAAAGGAGAAGAGTTAGAGTGAGATCGAGCTGAGCGGCGGGTGAACCTGCGTCATGGGCCAAATCCTCCCTAAAAGCCAAGTGTTTCGCGGCGCTAGAACTAGAACCTGCGCCATCCTCAGAATAAACATCCTCCGTGGTCTCATCTTGCAGCATATGGGTCCCGTACTGGTCAAGATCGGGCGCTGCCTCAGACATGACCCTTTCCACAGAAAGAGCGGGATCGCAAGGCAGAGTTACCTCGAAGTCAGCATCAGTAATCTCGACCACGTCAAGAGCGTCGAACTCCTCCAGATACTCCTTCTTGTCAGCATCAAGACTTTCTAACCTCGCAACTGAGACTAGCCCCCCATCCTCCTTGAAATCCTCAAGATAGGCCTTTATTCCCCCTGATTGGTTAGCCAGCGAAGAAATACGGTTAACCTCTTCCAACTCTCGACAATGCCGCTTCAGCTTGCCAAGGCGCGCTTACTGTCTAGCACGAACGGTCACCACAGCTTTGTCCACTTCAAGGGCCGTAGACTCCTTTAGCTGCGCTATCTCGATGTCGGCCCAGGCCTACAGTGATTCCTTATTTAATCGAATCGAGATGACCTCTTCTTCAAGCTCCCAATTCCTCAATATAGTCTGCTCCGCAATAGCAGATAGCTCGTTTGACAAACTCTTCAACAGATTGATCTGACCTTGTAGCTTAAGGATCCAATCAAGCTCCTTGCTCAGCTTTTGCTCGTAGAGCATCACGAGGTGGTTAGTGGAACACGCCGCCTACGAATTACGGCGAGTAAGGACTAAAAGGAAAAGGAAAAAAAATCGTGCCAACCGAAAATAAAAAAAAAACGCACACAACCGTACCTACAGGAAAGAGCCGGCCTAGTCGACATAGGTGTCATTCTCTACCATATGGTCCATATTAAGAAGCTTGAAATGATCATTTGGCTAAATAAGAGAGAGGAAGTCGGCACAAGCCCTCGGCTCGTCCATAATTTGCTTTCCCGCGCCCTTGAAAGAGTAGGCATAATCATAGGCCCCAGGAACAGGCTCTTCACTTTGCTGTTCGGCGCCCCCAGCAGCTACTCCAGATCCCTCTACAGCAATCAACTGCAAGTCTTCACCGTGAGATTTCATCTGAGTTTTCTCAGTGCGGCCCTCCGATGACCTATCCCTTTTTCGAGAAGCATATGCCGCCTGAGAAACAAGCGCCGCCAGGTCTTGTTTCTTGGCCACTTCCACCAGTGTGGCCGACCCAGCAGGGCACTTGCCCGACGCTTTCTCTACAGTAGAGAGTTTCTTGGTCTTCTCCGTGCTAGGAGCAGGACGGGTGCGTGCCGACCCCTCGGTCCTAACAGATGGATCAGTCACCGCCGTCTCCTTCTTCTTCTTCTCAGCCGCGTAGTTCACTTTCTTAAAAACAGCCTTGCCCATCTTCTTCTTTCGTTCACGTTCTTTGATTGGCTTGAACGTATAGGGACGAAGAAGAGCAAGCTCGATATCAAAACGATTTGCAAAATAACAAAATTGAAAGCGGCGCCTAAATTAAAAGAAGAGCAATATTAAAAGGATAGAGAACTCGGCCGACCTTGGTTAATCCTGGTGTGAATACATTGGATTCTTTGTTTGAGCAGTTCACCCCAGACCTGCAATCCTCGCTTCCTGAGAGCACTGCTCAAAGTCTTACTACCGCGCGGAGGAGGTTTCAACACTTGAACCGGGTCATCTGCCCAAAAGCAAATATTTAAACGATCAGGACGGCGAAGGCAGTACAAGAATTATGGAAACAAAAATCTACCAATAGCGGCGTTCCACCAATAAGGATCGGGAACCGTCCTCTTGTCAATATTAATGAAAAAATACTTAGTTTCCCAGTGGTCGGCCTTAGTCCGCATCTCGGTCATAATGCGACGCTTATGCCGCATTGAAATATAAAACCGACCCGACATCCTATCCCACTTCATTTGACTTATTTCCTCTAGTTGATCGTAAGTAACCAATCTCCCGATCTCGGCAGCGAGCATCAGAATAGAAGTTATGTTCTGAATCCCCGCATGAGTAAGCTGCGAGATCATTATTTAACGGCCGAGCACAAAATTGGAGCAAGAGGCGAGGCAGTGGAAACCATAGGCCGCTCTTCGTAAACAACGACTTGTAAAGACACATGTATCCTTCCGGAGGGGCACACGGACGCTGGTCGTCCGATGGAATGACAAACTCTATGTCGGCCGGTAAACCCCGCTCTTGGCGCGTTTTCTCCAAAGATTTGACGGTGGCCCTGGAGGCCGCGTTGTCATTTCGTTCCAATTCGATGTAACGACCCTAGCCAGGGTCGGGCAATTTGGCGCCGTCATCATTTATCAAAGGAGAAAACAACCCGATCTCGTCTTTCACTGAACAGGGGTCATCTGAGTCATCAGCATCATCGGAAACGTCCAGATCTGACCCCCTTGAAGCCTCGTGCTCTTGCAGAATGGCAGAAGACTATCCGACCTCTTCCACAATTTCACGGTGAGCGGCAGACGATGTCGCATCATCCACCAAATCGAGCCTCGTCCAACCGGATTGTAAAAGACGACGCTCTAAATCTCTGGCAGAGACCCCGTCGAATAACTCACGATGGGAGAACGGGACCTTGAGGTAGCAGACAAAACGAAGATCGCAGACATAATGGCACGGGGTGGAGACGCCGAAGGTCGTAAAACGGAACAGAAAGAATGATAGATGGCTGTTAAGAGAGAAGTTAGAGAAAGAAAGTATTTGAGTTTTCTCCGACAAATATAGTGAGAAGAGTTGCAGATAAAATTAAAAACTAGTTTTGATTCTCTACAGTTGTGGCAGATAAACAAATAGGTTTGTTGATTGGGATGGTGATATTAGTTTCTACGAACAAAAATTCAACACGAGAAATGGGATTAGAGAAGAAAAAGATTGACGGAGAAAAGGATGAACAAGGAAGCGATTAGTAAGTTCCAAACATTAATAACCACCACCTTCATGCCGTAAAAGATATCCCACACATATAGAGTTCACTTGTTCTAATCAAATATTTGGTTTAGTTTTTTTGTTTGTCGTCTTATGCTCTAGTTTGTAATTTTTATCCAACGATTTGTCGTATAATGATCTTTTTGGTCAAATGATTTGTAATTTCATATACGATTATGGGCATTAACAAACCAATATAATTATTATCCAATTAGTGATTTAATTGTATATTATAAATTAATTAAATAACAAGAATTTTAACATCACTTATTTGGAAACAAAAATATTTATAAGTCATTAAATAAGAAT